TGGAGGGAGCGGCGGCTGCTGCTGCTGCTGCTGCTGCTGCTGCGTAGGCACTATGATGGGGGCAGACTGATACACCGGCTGACTCGGGTAGAAAGGCGCGCCTGCAGGGCCAGGAGAGAAAGGGCCAGGCTCGTTCTTCTGGGCCGTCGAGCTCCAGCAAAGCCCGCCCGTAAGTGGGCCATTCTGCTCCCTTCAGAGGGGTGGGAGGGGCAGCGCACACCCCCCCCCCCCCGGGTACGACACCTGGGGTGGCTGGAGAAGGGAGGCCAAGGCCCAGGGAGAGAGCAAGGGCATGCGGGCGGGTGCTCTCTCGTGTTCCCTCTCCACAGAACGGGCAGGAGTCAGGCTTGAATTCATGGCGCCAATTAAGGCGGCCCCGGTCTCCTCAACCCAGCCAGGCCACAAAAGGAGCCACGGCTACTTTATCTGTGCTTTGTGACACATGGAAGGGAACACCAGCCCTCCTTCTGTTCAGCTCCACGGCCTGATGACGTCAGGAAGGAGACCTTCGGAAAAGAGAGCGAGTGGCTCGGAGGGGTCCGAGCCAGGCAGCAGGCGAGGAGCCTGCCGGGAGCGGATCTGGCCGGGTGACCACTCCAGTCCAAAGGGACTCCTCTCTCCTTACCGTAGGCGTTAGGGAATTCTCCAGGCCCCGGTCCTGGGTAAAAGGCTCCTGGCCCAGGCGGCTGGACAGGGTACTGCTGGGGAGGCCCGACGTACGGTGGGCCGCTGTGACGGTACTGCGGAAATAAAGAGCGCCAGTGCTGAGAGGGCCAGAGGGGGGCACAACCGCCACGCCAGCTTTCCCAGGGAGGGAGGGAGGAAGGAAGGAAGGTGTGCTCAAGCCCTTCCACACACACCCCTCCTCAAGAGGGTCGGCACATCAGGCTCTCGTTTGGGAAACTAAAGGTTCCATGAAGTTCAGAAGGAAGAACAGCCTGGGTGGGGGCGCCATCCCCCTCCCAGCTGTGCCTCCCCAGGTTGTCCAAGAGGAGGCGAAGGGCCAGGGCCGGCACGCTGGGCAGTCCCTCCTCCTTGTCCAGTGGCTCCCTGGCCGCGTCTTGCCCACTGAGGTGAAGACGGCCACAAACAGGCGCCCAAGGCTGCTCCTGATCCCCCGAGGGAAAGAAAGGCCATGCCGGGAATCAAAACCAACCCTCTGGACGGGGAGGGAGGGGCGGGCAGGAAAGGGGAGCTGCCCTGAGGGACTCCCCCGTGCCTCGTTGTTGCCTGACACTTGCTGCCACCTCCTTGGGAAACCTCCCCCTGGAGCCTTTTCCAACCCTGGCGCCGGGGGGGGGGCACTGGAGCCACCGGGACACTGGCTCGGGCCACGCACACACACACAGTGGGATCTTCTATGGCACAAGGCAGGCAAAGAGGGGCCCACCACCCCTCCGCGTACGGCCTCCCCTCCTCCTCCCCCCCGCCTGAGTGCCAATGCCCGAGGGGGCAACGCTGCAGCCTTACCTGAGGGATACAGTACTGGGGTCCTTGGGGCATTGCATACGGCATCGGGAGGTGGTTCACCATCATGATGTGCTGATTGGTTTGATAGACGGCGGTGGGTGTCTGCGCCCCAGGACGGAGGGAAGGGCTGCTGTTCTGGATCGTTGCCCTGGGAGGCTGTATTTGAGGCCTCTGGAAAAACTGAGGGGAGGGGGAGCCAGGAGGAGCCCGGTCTTTTAACCAGCCACTTTCATGAAGGGACCAACCCGCCACACTGGGAGGAAGAGGAGGAGGAGACGGGACCTGGGGGTGGCCCTGTCCACTTCCGAAGAGGCTCACCACTAAGCGCCCTGTCCAGACAGCCCACCTTGACCCTGGCTTACAAGTCCCAGACTCCCAGAGCAACCCCAGTGGGTAGGGAAGAAAATGAACATAGGAAGCCAGAGGCCACAAGCCTGAAAAGGTCTGTCTGTGTCTGCTGGGGGGGGCGGGGGGAGGAAAGAGAGTTTTAAGACTGGAGAAAGCCACATCTCTAGAACAGGTTCTCAAGTCAAGAAACGATGATGTGACCCTTGAGAAGAAGCAGCCCCCCCTCCCCGGGGGGGGCAATTCCCCACACTCACTTTTCTCAGCATCTGCTGTTCAGGAGACGCCCCCTTTGCTCCTTCTCTTTTGCATTTAAAAAGTAACAACCCCCTTTTGGGATGTTAAACTAGTTTCTCCCACTACACAAGCATCAACCTGAAGGAAACAACCAAGCCAGAGTCCAGGGCAGGTCAAGGGTTGGGGGGCTCCCTTTCTGAGTCGGTGCAGGCCTCTGTCCATAGAAGCCAGTGTGCAAAAAGGGTGGGTCAGGCATAAAAGCATTTAACAATCCAATGGGGGGTGGGGAGTGTGATCAAGAGACAATTAAGGCCATGCAGAACCAGTAGTGAAAGGTTACCTGGATAGGTCTGAATCCTCCCTTCAACAACGAAGCAAGAAAGCAGCAGGAAATAGAAAGAAAGCCAATGGAACAGCAGCATAGAAGCCAGTGTGCAAAAAGGGTGGGTCAGGCATAAAAGCATTTAACAATCCAATGGGGGGTGGGGAGTGTGATCAAGAGACAATTAAGGCCATGCAGAACCAGTAGTGAAAGGTTACCTGGATAGGTCTGAATCCTCCCTTCAACAACGAAGCAAGAAAGCAGCAGGAAATAGAAAGAAAGCCAATGGAACAGCAGACAGGTCCTTTGAGGCAGGGCAAGGAGGACCCTTTCCCTGAGGTCAGCCGGCATCAGGACACCAGAGTGCCTTCGCAAACCAGGAGAGGCTTCGACACCAGCTCGAGCCTCACCCGGCCTAGCTGGTGTCCACCTGCCAGCGGAAAGCTCTGTCCGTTGGCCAGGGGAACCTCCTTCCCCCCCTCACTGCAGTCTCTCCCCCCCCCCCCCCC